GTGAGTCACTGAAAGCCAGACTAGGAGAGACTTTTGGAAACAGCAGAGAGAATGAGATACTGTAGGAGTGACTGTTGATGTTTCGGAGGGACATACAGAAAAAGAAACTTCAGAACAAAATGGTCGTCCCTTCTAAAGATTGGAGAGACAAGTTCTTAAATTTAGGAGTTTGCTGTGTCATTTCTTAGAAGCACTTAGCCATTACTTTAGGAAGTCCAAGCCTGGGATAACAAATGTGTTGGCTTAAACAGAGGATACAACTTTCTCAGTCCCTTGGGCCATTACCAGCACTTCATTGAGGAACACCCCCAGCATCTGCAGGAAGGATTAGGAAGAACCGTCTCCTCTGGCAAGCTCACCTTTTAGCTTTTGCTGAGATGGGCACCAAGCTTCTCTTTCCTGATCAGACTCGCTGCATAGGGGATCTGTAAGACAGAAACAAACAAGACCATCAAGCTGGAAACACATACTGAATGGAGAACCACGATCGCCCCTAACAACTTGAATGCCCATGGATCTTCCCTGCTGAGAGCCCCTCTGCTCAGCTGGGTGAGGCTGCCAGGTATAGCTCAGAGTCTGCCTGCAAAGTGTGGCAAGGACGGAACGGGCAATCACACACGGGGTTGTTGCTACAGCTAATCATTGAGGTTACCAGGAGGCGTTTTCTTTTTGAAGAGGTTTTAAGGTCTTTGTGTTTAGCAGTATGGCATTCTTGTTATTTGAAAACTGCATTACAATGTTGAAATAGGTCCAAGGTCACAAAGATGAATGCGATTGCAAACTCATTCAAGATGATCATGCAGTTTAATTAGAGTGTTTTCTTTGTAAAACTGTCATTGTGGATCACAAAGAAGTCTAAGCATAAATTATTACGTTGGGTGAATTCTCAATTACTGATGAAGGGAATTAGAAACAAGTGCATTGAGGGGGAGGCATGACCCGAGCTCTGTCTGGGTGGACCTGGAAAGTGTGTCCAAATGGTGGATTGCGAATGAAAGCCTACCACATTTGATACGCGACGTTTCATTAGAAAATTCAAATGCCTGAGAGAGACACATGCATTATTTACGTTTGCTTTCCTGCTAACCCGGTCAGACAGCTCTGCCATTGTTTTATTCTAACCCTGGTCAAGCATCTCTGTCATTGTGTTACCTGCTTGCATCAATAGGAGGTTAAATTTAGGACTCTAAATTTGCATCTATGTTACATTTGAGGGAATAGATATTCAGCCCTTTTTGATATTTTATTTATTTCTATTTTGCTTTATGGTTGCTGTGTCTGCATGGTATATCTCTGCACAACTGCATGCAGTGCTGTGGAAGCCAGAAGTGGATCAGATCCCCTGGGATTAGGATTGGGGTTATGCTGGGACTTGAACCTGGGTCCTTTGGAAGAACAGCCAGTGATCTTAACAGCTGAGCCATCTCTCCAGTCTTTTAGAATGTAACCCAAAATATGACTGTTATATAAAATCAGTGAGGGAAAAATACAATCATTTTTCTTCAATTAGATAATACTTCTCTCCCTCCTTCCCCCCTCTTCTTCCTTTTCCTTCCTTTCTCCCTCATCTTTCTTCCTTCCTTTCATTTGTAGCTCAGGCTGAATTCAAACTCTTGATCCTCCTGCCTCAGCCTGCCAAGTGCCAGAATTAGAGGTGTGCACCACCGTGCTTAGCTTTGGAACATTTTAATAATTCTGTGGTGCGCATCTCCCCACCCCAGAATTTTATTGGGTATTTGATTTGCTTTCTGGCTTCACTGGTCCACACACGCGCCTTTATTAATGGAGAGAGCCCGTGAGCTTACACGGACGCGGTGGCCGAGACGATAAGCAGATAAAGCTTGTCACTTGAGTCAAGCAGGATTTTAATTGACAAAAGGAAGATGAAAACAAGCACCTCACCATGATGACACGTCACGTACTGGACAAAGCGAAAGCAGCGGTAGTGAAATGAACGATTCACACGACAGCAGAAAATGCTCAGTGCCCTAAATCTCATGTTTTAGGGCCGGGTTAGGACCATCTCGAGAGCTATGACAAGGGCAGTTAGGTGGGGACCTATACCATCTCTTTTCACAGGAGGTTATGCTGTATCTGCTATTCACAGAGACAGATGAGGATTTCCCATTCTGCTTTGGCGTCGACCAACACAGGTGACCTCTCTTGTCAGCTGCATGACAGGAGAGTCTTGAATGGGATTTTCTTATTTAGGGTAGCAAGATCTGATGCAAACCTCCGAGCGTGAGAGTTAATAGTGAGATGCGCTCGTTCTATTTTCCTGCTCACAAAGGACATTTAAAATGATGGTTAGATGCTGCGGGACTTTGTGAGGGTCTGTTACATCCCAGGCACCATAGGAGAGACATTCATACCGCTTGGACCACTCATTAAAATGAGTAAACCACATCCTCACCTGGAGAAAACCACAGGAGTGATGATGCTTTTGCAGCCAAGTCACACGTCTCCCCTCTCACTGTCCCACCATTCATTCCCTGCCTTGCTCACATTTTATCTAGCTAGAAAAATAAAGGGGGGGGGGGATGTTTCAAATAACTGCACCAGAGTCTTAAAGCTCCAGGTTAGAACTTAAATTGCCACAGAGTGTCGTCCTCATACAAATGTCGTGTTTCCATGGAACAAGGACAAAATGAAAGGCAGGCAATAACAAAAGCAAACAGCAAAAGCATCTGGGCCAACTGCTGTATGCCTTAAATTCCAATCCCTGAATCATAAATGATAAGTAAAGATGATCAAATGGCCCACTTCTTGCCGAGAGCTACTCTATTTTACTGGTTCCAAGACACACTTTCCCCTGCACATTTTAACGTCTCTGGAGTTGGTGGTATCTTAGAATTAGAGTGAGAAGCTTTTCTTCTTTTTGAGTCATTAGGCCATGATGCCTTGTACAATCGATGGCTTCTAAGATTCTATAAAATATAATATTATACTTACAGATGTCAGCAAATACTCCTGACTTGGGAGTTTCATATTCTAGAGACTATGCTTAAGCTATTCACACCTATGAAGTCTACTATAGAACTTACAAAAGCTTTCTTTCCATTTTTACCACTGTGGAAGTCACCAAGGCTCAGAAAACTGCAAAATGTTACATACTTTATATCTCACCCAGCCGACCCTAATAGGTCAAAAGTAGTGGTGTCTCACCAATAGAGATTTCAAGTTTGTGTTGTGGGAGAGTTGATTTGAGCTCAGATACTCAGATGAGTCGATATCTCAAAGCTAGAAACATGAGAAGAATGCCCCAGGATGGAAGGACAATGGAGCCATTGTCAAAGCACAGGGCACTTGATTACTGGTGGAAAAAAAGATGCATAGCATCAAAGTCTGCCTACTGCTATAGAATCTGGCAGAAGCTCCTATGGCAGTTCAGAGTATTCATCAAGCCCAAAGCTTGCAGGGACCTTCTTACCACACATGCTTAGTCACACAAGCAAAAGCTGCTTGATAGCCCTTGAGATCTTTTTGTAAAAACACAAGACAGAAACAGTTCTATTCGCCTTTTAGGAAGAAGATAGACAATGTAATTTAAAGAACTTTCCGGTTCTGGGGAAATTTTGTCAAGTTCCCATCCCAAAGAATACTGGACACTGTCTGAGGAAAGACAGTTATCACTGGGAAGCTGTGTCCCCACTTCACTGTTGCCCACCAATGAGAAGGGTTTACCGCTCCTCCGTGAAGAGCTACTGTGTTCCTCTCACAGGGAAGCGGTAAACTGAGTTTATAAGTCCACCATGAATGAAACATTAATACTTAATTTATTGCTTGAACATTATTTTAATTCAAATCCTTTAATGGGGAACTTGTGTTTCCTTGGCTGCGTGTCACTGCAGCGTCCTAGAACAACAGCAGAGGGCACTTCAAGACTAGCACGTCAGTCGTGTCTCTGAGCCTCGCGGTAGCTGTCAGGCAAGTTCAGGAGCTGAGTCTGGGCCTAGCCTTGGATCAGGAGCTCTGGACCAGTAGTTGATAGCATCCCTGAAGAGCTTAGGGTTGGAAGAGTGTTCCTTAGGCAACCCTGCAGTGATTGCTTATACAGACACACTTTCTTCAAGAATGATCGTCAAATTAGCAGTGAAGAAGCAAGCCAAGTCCTTGCTATAAATTATCACATACTCCAAGACGTAGGTCAGTTTTAATGGAAAGTTATGTGCTGAGTAAAACATCTTCAGTTTCTTTCCAACCCTAATAGACGACAGATTTGACTTTTTAAAACTGAACACATTTCTCCCAGAGTCGTAATTTACTGTGACTTGAGAAGTCCTTTGCCTTTTATTATGCTAACATGTTTTTACAAACTTGCTAAATTTTAAAACGTTTGCATTTTGTTCATAGCTAGAGGAATGTCTTTCTTTGTTTTGTAGAAATAAATCTGGTTTAGTAAAGAAAACACTTTAAGGATTTGAAAGCTCAGATCAGGGATGCCAGATTCTTTCTTTATTTCTTTTGTGCACACAAGTAATAGAAAAATTCAAATTTTAAGTGTCATTTTAAGAGTCAGCTTGTGGCCATTTACAAATGATAGGTAACCTAATTCTGCATGCGCTTTAACATCAGCATTGCCGTATATGCACATCTGTTTCTAAATGCAGGAGGCAGCTCATCATGTGACTGTATAGCCACTGCATGTGTGCATTCAACAAACTGGAAAAAGAAGATACAGAAACTATAGTCAGGGGAGGACCTAAAAATGTAGGAGCCAAAGAAACTCATGACTTTTCTTTTTATGGCAATGATACCCAAAATGCTTTCTGTGTACGTATTTTGAATAGGAGCACTGTGTAACAATACAGAATAAGTGTGCTGTGCATCTGCAGGAACCATCACCAAATATGATGGTTTTAAATATTTTAATTCTCCAGGATTGAAAGACAGGCTAGGTTGTTACTTCATCAAAGGAAAAGACGGCGTATTCTGCGATTCTATGCTGTGTAGACTTTGGATATGAAATGACGCAAGTCGTTTGCTTTGCCTATTACCAGGGAGCACAGTGCGTAGTCATACCGACTGACGGATGAAGAGACTATCCCACTACAGTGCTGTGAGAGCAAACCAAACTGCGCCACTTGGCAACTCCTTGCTCATCTTCAGAGATCCTCAGGCGCTTCGCAGATACGCAAGGCTGCATAAGGAACTGGGTAAACAATTGTTCAAACAATGCATCTGCTGTCTCCTTTCTAAAGGTAAACAGAGGGATAAAAATACAAAATAAAACAAAAAACAGAGTTGCCCCAAAGCAACTCTGACACCAGGCTTATTTTGTTCCACTATTTTGAGAAGAGCCATGCTATTCTCCTGGCTGCTCATACTGCAGCTCATGTGACTTTGGATTATAATACAATCCTGTCAGATTCAGTCTTCCAGCAGCTCATTTTTGGGAGAGCTGACGCTCAGGGTATGGACCTTGGGTCCAGCTTGGTAGACCTTATAGCGTGTCTGCTAGTGTCAGGCAGGGCAGTAATAACACACGAGCGAGCTCTCTGTAATTCCCAACTGTGCCGTCCTTTACTGGGGTGTGGAGAGCATGTGAGGATAGCAGAACCAACCCAGGAAACTCTGAGAAAGAATGAAAAAGAATGGCTGTATTGTGTGGGGTTAGGCTGGGGTGATCAGTGCAACAAAATGTTTGTTTCAAGTGTTGAAGGCTGTACACTATGCCGGGGGCTTCAAGTGTTGAAGGTTGTACACTACGCTGGGTGTTTCAAGTGTTGAAGGCTGTACACTATGCCGGGTGTTTCAAGTGTTGAAGGCTGTCACTATGCTGGGTGTTGGAGGCAGCTCCACAGCCCTGGGTGTCTTATTGTAGGGGACCCAAAATAGAGGGACTAAGGAAAAATAAGTCGTTTGTTTCATTAATTTTCAAGTTGCTTGCCTACAAATGTCTTCGTGAATTTCAAGAATTGTATTATACCCAGAGAAGTTTGTGTGTGTGTGTGTGTGTGTGTGTGTGTGTGTGTGTGTGTGTGTGTGCGCGCGCGGTTCATGTGTGTTGGGGAGGTCTTGGCTCTCCCAAACTGTTTCATTAACTCCAGGAGCCCTTTGCTACCTAGTAGGTCATGAATAAATAACATTTGCATGTTTAATAATACTAATGTGTATCTTTCTTGAACTCAGTACATAGAAAGATCTGATACACTTTCTCTTCTAGCAATAGTACATGCTTGTTATATGCCTATACCATTCTTTCCTCTTTTACTAGAGAAACCAACTGTCAAGAGAAATTAAGACATTAAAGTTACCCAGGTGGCCTTGAAAGGGGGCCCAGAAATAAGCGCCTAACTTCCGTCCTAACGGTCATTTTGTCCTATTCACAGCTGCCCTGAAATCTCAATTCTTGTTTGTTTCTTGGATGGAAATTTCCGTTTTAAAAGCCAGAAAAAAAAAAAGATACCGTAAGCAGATTAATTTAGGCCTTAACATCCTGCCCGATCTCCCTCCAGTCCTTCACTGACATTCTTCCCCCAGATCCCTCTAGAAAATGACCAGCATGTTTGCTGTAAAGAATTTTAGCTAGTATCATCCAACATCAAAGGCTGAGAATAGTAGACAATGTTTGTTTTTACCCTCTGTATGGAATGTATTGTCAATCAAGATATCCCCAGCTTCCCAGTGGATTTAGGTGTAATCAAAGACCAGCACACACACACACACACACACACACACACACACACACACACACTTCCACCAACACCACCATCAACACCACCAACACCACCACCACCAACAACAAAACCCCACAGGAAGACCCTCCTAAGCATTATCTGGCATAAAGATTTTCTAAACCTGGAGCTATTAATGAGCGCCTGAGACCAGAGGAACCACAGTGGGGTTATCACCATTATTTTAAACCACACTTTTAGCTGAGACCCTCATTTAGAAAATGTAATGAAATTCAAGGTTGCTTTGAAGTACTCCCAGGAATCTCTGTGGACATGGGCATGCTTGCTCCTCCCATACAAAGACACAGCACTAACCATCTTCTTCAAATAATCCTGACAAAACTACATTTGGCTCTTAAGACACTTTAGACGTGCTCAGTGGTCTACAGGTAGAAGAGATCAGTGAAACACAATATCAAACAACCCAAATTATGACAACCGCATTTCCAGACATCAGCGTCTTTAGCCAGGTGTTTAAAAATAATCTCAAAAATATTCCATATAAATTATTTCCTCTATTGCTTGCTCTTTGGAAAAAGAAGAAGCTTGGGAGACTGATTTAAAATCCAGGGCTTACACCAGATATGTCTGCATGGGTCGGAACAGTGAGGCGTTAGGAAAACAAAACCCCAAAACCAAATCTTCCTGACTGTTGCTCTTTCCCATTTAAAGAGATCACTTTGAGACAGGATGAGGATAGAGAAGAGTGCTTCATTTGCTTCTTTCCATCACCCCTCAAGTGCACGTAATTGGTTAATTGAGTGTTAAAGGAGGGCCTGGCTGGTAGAAGGTGCGGAAGGGCAGGAGCTGTGCCCTTCTGTGAGTTCCTGTTTTGTCCCCACATGGTGCCTGCTAGTTTGCAGCGTGAAAGGGTGCTCCGTACCTCTGATTTGCCCATGGAGGCGATGCACACATGGGAAGCAGTTACAGATGGAAGAAACACACGGACACATCTGTTTACTCTGGGTCTACGTAAATCCCCTGGTAATTAGCATCTTAACCAGCCAAGAGGGAAGTGGACCAACAGTGTGGCGTGCATTGAGGGCTTTGAAAACAAACCAGCGACCTTACACGTGTCTATAAGCAGAAATGGCTCTTACAATTTGTAACTGTTGCACCATTTCTTCTCGGTAAGCCAGCTCCCTTTTCATCTGATCCTGGAAGTTATCTGGGGAAGAGAGAGACAGAAAGGAAATTAATGCAAGTGCAGAATCCATATGTAGTATGCAGTTGGTCCTCCAAATCCTAGACTCCTGGTGCTGTGGATTGAACCAACCTCAGATCAACAACATGACACTGGATCGGTAACAAGGAAGATGGAGTAACATCCACCCACATCTGCCTGTATCAGTGATGCAGACACCCACAGCAGGGTCTCTAAATCCCTCTATACTGAGAACCCCGCAGGACCTCTTTTCACCTGAGAAACTTTTGTGACCCACGGATGTAGGTATATAAAATAGGTAGACAAGCCAAATACTGATGATATATAAATATATAAATCATAAAGAAGTTTATTTTAAAACAACTCTGTTGTATATATCTAACTTCACAATTTATTAGTGACAAAATCAAACCTGCCACACAGGTAGATATATGTGCTGGCCTAACTTTATGTAGAGTCAAATGTTGGCAGATACTATATGATATATATATATACTATTTGATACTATATGATATCTTCAGCATTTTTTCATTTGACTGATATTCTGATCTTATAATTATCAATACTGAGAATGTGGTTTTTACATAAACATGGACCACAAAATGGCAGATGTATGCTTAGGAAATTGTTGGAAATTCTATCCTAATCCCAAGCCAAAATTCATTTATTTACTATTTTAGGAAACCCAAGTCAGCAACTCAAACAAGCAATTTTTAAAAACCAAACATCCTTACACAATATAATCAAAAGGCACATTACATTGATCTTTATATGATGGAGAATGATGATAGGGGTGTATAAAAAAGTGCTCAGGTTCCTGGAAAGATGCCTTAGAGGTTAAAGGCACCGACTGCTCCTTCAGAGGCCCTGGGCTCAATCCCTAGCAGTCACGTGGCAGCTCACAACTGTCTGTAATTTCAGTTCAAGGGGATCGCACACCTTCTGGCCCCCACTGGCAGTTGATATGCAGTGCATAGACATATATGTAGGTGAAATACCCATATATGTAAAAAATAAATAAAAAATTTCTGTAACTAAACCATTTTGCTTAAAGAGCCAAAACTTCATATGGTAATTATGAAATTCAGAACAGGCAGTCCCAGAGCCGAGGTGTTCCTGTAGCGTTCCTTGGCGCTGCATGACTTCGCTAGCGGTAGTGGCTGAGTCATGCTGCATGACAAGGGCAAGTCCCGCCCCCAAAGCCTTGGATTCATTATACACTTGATTTTGAATTAACTTTTGCTCATTTAATGTTCAGAAACCTTTTACTGTTGCTCCAAATCGCATGACTCACTCGCTCACGTATGTGGCCCCGAGTGAGGGTTGTGACTGACGGTTTGCTGTAGTAGGTGTAGACTAAAGCATGCAGGAGGATTATCCACGGTTATATGAGAGCACTAGGCAATGCTCTGTGACACTGGCACCGCCACGGACTTTTGTTGTCTGCAGAGGGTTCTGGAGCCAATCCGCCATGGGTACGGAAGGATGAGTACATCTGAAAAAATATGACTGACAGCACCCTAGAGTCTGCTACCCCCTTTAGGCCGCTCCTGACCTCTCCCCTTCTGTTTCCTTTTCCTATCTCACTGGATAGCCCTGGCTAGTCTGGAACTCTCTCAGTAGATCAGGCTGACCTCAAACTGTTGTTGATATTTCTGCCTCTCAAGGGCGGGGGTTGCAGACACATGCCACAAGTCTGTTGCTTTTCTTTCCTTGTAAGCAAACAATTTAGTTATTTGAAGATATATTCTCAACACTGTAACTTGATTAGACTGCACAGGAAATTCTGAGACGTAAGAGCAGGTCATTCCTTTAACAGTACCGCATCCTCCATCGTGTCTATTTCCTTGCATGTAAGAATCACCCAGAAATGAGCAGTGCAGTTGGGTCCTCTACTTATGCAAGGTACAGCGTGGAAGGCACCTACAGTCTGCAGCTACAGCTACAGTGGAAGGGACGCAGGTCATAGGGCGCGAACCATAGGGAGTGCTGAGAGCTGTGTAAGACAGGGAGAATGCTCGCCCTGCTCCTGTGCACCTTAGCGCTCTTGTACTCCAGTCTGACTCTACAAAGGCGGCGAGCCTTCTCACCCATGCCAGCCTTGCTGTGGTCCTCTTTGGTCTCATGAGTGCTATAGACTTGGCCACAATCCGAGGAAAGGGGAGCTGTGAGAGACACTGCTACAAAGTCAGGTGGAGGTGGCACGCACTACAACCACACCTTTAATCCCAGCACTCGGAAGGCAGGGGCAGACAGATCTCTATGAGTTTGAGGCCAGCCTGGGCTACACAGCGAGTTCCACCTCCTCTCCCTCCACCTCCTCTCCCTCCACCTCCTCTCCCTCCACCTCCTCTCCCTCCACCTCCTCTCCCTCCACCTCCTTTTCCCCCACCCTCCTCTCTGTCCACCTCCTCTCCCTCCACCTCCTCTCCCTCCACCTCCTCTCCCTCCACCTCCTCTCCCTCCACCTCCTCTCCCTCCACCCTCCTCTCCCTCCACCTCCTCTCCCTCCACCCTCCTCTCCCTCCACCCTCCTCTCCTTGCTCCACCTCCTCTCCATCCATCCTCCTCCCCCTCCTCCCATTCACAGTTGCCTCTTTCTAAACAGGTTTCTGACTGACCTCAGGCCTCTAGTTCTTCCTCCACAAACCCTTTTCATTTCCTTAAAATTCTGCCTGAAAAAAAAAAACTTCAATGGCTTCCTAACATTTTCAAGGTAACAAATCCTAAGTCTCCAGGTGCCTATCAATTAAAAAAATGGTCTTTTCATTTTCTTGGCATTTGACTTTCTATATGATTAGATTTCAAGGCATATATTATCATTCATGTTTGAAAAACATCCAGTCCCAACTTTCACTTCCAAATGTGATGGGTGGGAAGACTTTACAGTATAGGGGTCAGTGTGGGAAGACTTTACAGTATAAGGGTCAGTGTGGGAAGACTTTACAGTATAGGGGTCAGTGTGGGTCAATGACAGGGAGCTGGGAGGGAGGGAGTTCCAGAGCAGAGAGGTAAACAGCACCCTAGGGAAGCTTGGGGTGGAAGGAAGAGGAGGGATCACTGTAGGTGGCTTGGCTAGCTGAAGCAGAGGGCAAGGAGGAAGTTTCCAGAACTTTGCTGCCCGTGAAACCACTCTCCAGTTTTCAAACAGGCATTGTGCTCCCTGTCTCTGGATCCTTGTTCCTGCTGGGGTCTACCCTTATAGCAAGTACCTTCGTTGACCTCCAATCCCAGTTCAAATACTTCCTCCCTGTAAAAGTCTTTCAATTTTCTTGACTCTCCTGCCAGAATCAATTATCTTTCTTTTGGACTCTTCCAGCTAGCTGCCCAAACCACTACTAACATATCCATAATATGTATTACTAGTTGGGATACATCTACCTTCCAGTTCGCTATTTAGTGAGTTCATAGGACGGAAAGGTAAGTTTTAAATTCTTTAAAACTCTCCAGGCCCACAGCAGTCCTGAGGAGGCAGTTAGGGAACAGAGTGTAAGAAAAACAAAGCCATATCAACTGAGGGTCAGGCTTGGGCACCAATGCAAATGCCCTGTTCTGGGGCCTGGGGCCTTCCTGGAAGGAACGGGGTGGGGATGACGCCCCTAAGGAATATTCTTACTCTAGCACTTTAAGATCTGATGACAAAGCAGACTGATTTGTTCAGGGTCCAAGCACCCTTCCTGCCAGGAGGGCTTGATTCTGATATGCTCTGATGACAATCAGAAATAAGGTGCCCTGTGAGAAGTCAGGAGCCACAGTCTGGGGCACCAGGCAACAAGAGACGCAGCCCCCACCACAAACTGCCCTGTCTCCATGCCTTCTCCCATAGTCGGCTCCCAGAACCCTGCCGCCATGTTGGCTGGGGCAGTGCTCCGCAGTGCCCTTCTGCATGGCAGCCAAGAACACTTTGGAAGCGCAGTTTCCCAAACAACAACAGAAAGTGTGCGGCATGCATCCCTGGGACTGTGAGCCAGAAGAGCACCATCTGGCACATCTGGCTACTGGAAGGCTCTGCTCACAGAGCAGTGGGCATGCGGCTCATCATCTTTACCTTTTGTCACGGTTCCCAAACAACTCTGGGGACTTTTGATCTGTCGGTATTTGGAAGTTCTCTCCTAGGCTCACTTCCAGAGGAGACCACAAAAAGAGAGGCGTGAAGGTGGTGGACCACTGAGTGTAAAAGGAAGCCTCACAAATAAGACACAGAGAACGTGGACCGTAGGGTTTGTGTGGGTGGCAGTGAGTTTGTTTTCAGTAAGAAATAATCAGGGGACTATGGAGATGCTCAGTGGGCAAAGGTTACCTTGTGACATGAGTTCAGCCCTCAGAAATCATGGAAAAATGCTAGGCATGGCTTCACAGGTATGTAATCCTGTGTTGGGGAGGCAGAGGCAGGAGGATCTCTGGGACTCTCCAGCCAGTCAGGTCTAATTGGTGAGTTTCAGGCCAATGAGAGATCCAAAGGAAAGAAAGGGTTTCCCTAAGGAATGACACCCAAGATTGTCTTTTGGCTTCCACAGTGTGTGTGGGCAGTGGAGAAACCTGAGCTGTGCTACAGATAGGGAGGAGGACCTGAGAGGGGGGGCCTTGAGAACTAGAAGGCCAAGGGAAAGGAAGAGGAGGGACTGTCTCCGTGGCCACTGGAGCAGAGAGGAGAAGAAGTGGAAAGGCGCCAAGGCAGACGGTGCCAGATAGATGCTTTCTTGGGCAGGAGCTACTGTAGATGCTTAAATAAGCAGAGGGGTTGAAGACAGCTTCTTGGGTGCAGAACTTGGTGTCAAAGGTGGTGTTTTAGGGAATGAGAGGGTTGGAGTAGAGAAGGATGGTGGTGGACATAGAACATCCATTTACTGCTGTACGGCTGGAAAAGAGTCTGGGGAACGTGCCATGGGCAAGCAGGAGGGTATGTTGCAGCCAAACCTGGACCCTCAGCCTGCTCTAGTGACCGTCTGCCTGGCACTGGGAGTCTGTCCTCCTCCAGTGTTTCCCCAGCAGGGCCAGGGTTCTGGCCCTTCTCCACTCAGGGTGGGATTAGCATGCTACCCCCCCCAGACTTCTGCTCCCCTCCAAGGATGCAGGCTCCTCCTTCTCCCCCATCCTCATTCTTCACTTCTTTCTTCTCCTTCCCCCCTTTCTTTCTCCCACCCTCTCTCCTTCCTTTTTCTCTTCTCCCGCTGCCTCCTTTCTCGTTCGCTCTCATATCATCTATCCACTCTGTGTCCAGGACTCATTTCTGTGACTCTGCTCAGCCCTCAGAACCACGCAAAGACCACACTGCCCAATGTTTAGAAACTCTCCACATGGTTGAGTCTCTCCTCCTCACCCTGCCTCAGCCTCACCACCTGGGACTACAAATGACAGCTATTGAACACCTCACTTGAGTCAAGTGGACGCATAGGATTTTACATGGATTGTGTCATTTAGTTCTTTCATCCTGTGGGGCAGGAATTATCTGCCCCAGTTGGCAGCTTCTAAGGTCAAACAACCTGTGAGGAGAAGCTTGCTTGGGTCTGATAGATTTTAAAACATTCCTAATGGAAACACCCTACAGATTCTCCTGAGCCTTAGTTCTTTAAAGCACCAGGATATTCTCATTCTCTCTCTCTCTCTCTCTCTCTCTCTCTCTCTCTCTCTCTCTCTCTCTCTCTCTCTCTCTCTCACACACACACACACACACACACACACACACACACACACACACACACCATGGTTTCTTTGTGTAAGCCCAGCTGTCCTGGATCTCACTCTGTAGACCAGGCTGGCCTCGAATCCGGAGATCTGCCTGCCTCTGCCTCCCAAGTGCTGGGGTTAAAGGCTTGCGCCACCACTGCATGGTCTAAACACTGGATTTTGCCTGTGACTGTGAAGATCTGTCCACCTTTGGAAAAGGCTTTTCAGACTTCTTGCGGAATCTCCTGCGCTTCCGCCAGGTGTGGCTTTCCAGAGTTTAGATTTCCCCTCCTCATCAGTGAAGGCTGAGTCTGCATTGGCCTCACTCAGTTACACATAGTTAACAAGCACGCAATACATATTTACTATTTTCACTGTGTGAAGCTACCTTTTATTTTTGGTGTGTCTAAACCATGCATTATTCAAAGTTGGGTATGCACACACCACTTTCTTGGGGAGTGGAGCAGGTTGCAGATTTCCAAAACTAGAAAATGTTGCTTATTGAAATACTTCATACATCTGGCATTTACAGACTGACTCACATCAGCTCAGATCAAAGTGATGATGTCTAGGCCTAGTTTTTTCATTGTAGGGTTTTTTGCTTTTTGTGTGGTGGTGGGGACTGAACTCAGGACTGAGTTATGCCCTAGACCAGTCTAACATTGCTTTAACATACATGGTTTGTGTTAGAGTAAAAGGCAAGGTATAAGTATATACATCATGGTGAGTTACTTAATCCCTTAAATGATTATTAATTAGGTGTTACCCATAGAAGAAATCATGATCACACTGGCCACAAGGGGAAATGCGAAGGTACTCTGGGGCTTCACTGATCTTGAACCCACTCTGCTCGATCTTAATGCAGAGATTCCCCAACTCCACCCTTAGATCAGCCTGGCTATGTGTGCTGCGGAGACCACAAGTTACATTCTTTCTCAAGCAAGACCCCTAGAGCCTCACGCAGCTTCATGCAGCTTTGCGATGTCCAGATTAATCACAGGAGACATGCTGACACTTAAAAGAATTGTCTCAGGAAAAAAACTGAAGTTTGCATAATATAAAAAATACTGGGGTTGGAGAGCTGTCTCAGTGGCTAAGAGCATGTACTGCTCTTGCAGAGGACCAGAGTTTGATCCCCAGTACCCATGCTGGGCAGCTCACAACTGCCTATTAACTCCAACTCCAGGGGTGTCTGACATCTCTGGCTTCCTACATTCAAGTGCACATACACAGGCACACACACACACACACACACACACACACACACACACACACACACTCAGAAAGACACACACAAACAAATAAAATAAGTCTTAAAAAATCATTTGTCTGCCATTTTCTTTCTCATTTTCATTTCTCTGAAGAGGGGAATCCAACTACACACAACTTGAGAAACACTCCCAAGATCACTCCTGGGCTACCCTGCTCATGGCAGGTGAAATTTCCAATTTTCCACGCACACCTACCATGAAGCCTTTCTGAGATTCTACGGCTCTGGGAGCAAAGTGATAACCTAGAGACTGCCAGGCTTCCTGCTTCCCACTGGAATGGAATTTCACAGTAAAATGGATTGAGAGTGTAAAACTACTAAAATGATATCGATTTAATTATGGTAGTGCCCTTTAACCCTGGGTTTGCTTATACAAGGTCAAGTGTGGCCTAAAAATATTAAGTGGAAAATTCTAGAAATAAACAATTCATAAATTTTAAATAACTTTTATTATAGTATAGACGGTCATAATTGT